ATCCCGAATACACAAATATTTTACTGCCCTAGTATTCGCCAATCTCAAGTGGGTTCCTCCTTACAGCATCTCGTTCGATTCCGGCGCCGTTACTTATCCATCCTTACTGCACTTTATGCACGTACGCAAAGATTTATATGTGGGGTTTAACGTCCCAAAACCACCATATGATTATGAGAGACGCCGTAGTGGAGGGCTCCGGAAGTTTAGACCACCTGGGGTTCTTTAACGTGCACCCAAATCTGAGCACATGGGCCTACAACATTTCCGCCTCCATCGGAAATGCAGCCGCTGCAGCCGGGATTCGAACCCGCGCCCTGCGGGTCAGCAGCCGAGTACCTTAGCCACTAGACCACCGCGGCGGGGCGCATGTACGCACGTACGCAAAGAGCCTGTTGACCTATTACATGTTTTGAAACAGCGATGGGCCCCGTCGACATACTGAGACGCTCGTAGCGACGTCACAGCGCATAGATTCCGGCCCAATCCAAAGCTTGCCAACGCCCCCTATTATCACGTGACAAACAGCACACCACTTCAAAGCTGTCTCAGATCAGCGCTGTGCTCGGAGGCAGCTTGCAGCTGCTGTGCGTGTTGTCATGTGATCAGTGATCATAGAGGGTGGTGCCGAGCTTTGGGCTGGGCGGAGTCCATGTGCCACAACGTCGCTACAAGCGCCTTAGTATGTCGATGGCGTCTATCGTCGTCTACAAACAAGGAAAAGGTCTACATATATAGATGTAGAGCACCCTTGTAGTGCTGTGTTGTGAACCACGTTGTACCTATCTATATAAGGGCCCTTCCAATTAGAAAAGATGAGAAAGCAACGTTCGTGGAAGCTACCTGTTCTGCGTAGAAAATAAATATGAAGAATTAAAGAGAAGCTCGGCGTCAAGGAATAGCTGGTACCGCTAATCACGCTGAAGTCTTTTAGTCTATACTTGTCGAATTCCCCGATTGTCGCCGTCACTGTGGTCTCAGTATTCATGCACGCGGGATTAAATGGTGTAACCATCGTCATGTACTTGACTGCTGCAATGTGCAAGGTGCTTTAGAAACTTCTATCACGAAATGGCACTTGGTGTTCTTAGTGAGCCTTTATGTAAATCATGGACATTTCGGGCATCTGTACATTTGCGACGCGTGAACTAGTACCAGGAAAAGGGGTGTGAATGCGCGTTGACGTGATACATTTGTACCGTTTCATAAATATCGACAACTTAACAATACGAACTATTGTTGAATAGAAGATGAGTAGCCAGAACGACACCTTCAAAGACATCTAATAAAGGAGCCGAAGCAATTGCTGGCCAGAGAGTTTGCCTGGTTTGCACATCGTTAAATCTTCACTTGCAGGGACCATATATTGAAAGCGTTAAATGCGGAGTTTGCAATTACTTCGATTACTGAGCTATCCAAATAGGAACGATAGTCCTGGTGTGAGATATGTTCAACGTATGATAAACAGTTAGTGTGGCGCCTTGAAGTCTTATACGCTATCTGAGAAATAGCTTGAAGTCATCGTTCACTGGTACAAAATTAAGCCTTCTCGATGAAAAACCATGCAGCGTGGTTTGACAGCGACTTCTTGATACCGATTTCTTGATAGATTGCCTATGCCATCATTTAGTGAAGGGAACTTTATAGCCACATAGATACAAAAGATGTTTAAACAGCAAGGGTGGTGGTATAAAAGCTGCATATATGCGGCTTCACTGGTCCTACCTCACCAAACAACAGCAGCGGCAGCAACATTATCAAGAATTTTCACTTGTTGCAATAATAAAATAGAGATACACAAAGCATAGCGATAAGAAATTCAGTAAAAAACAAACATTTTAAACAAACACGGAAGCTAGGTTGGTATTCGTAAAACAAGTTACCATATTCTATTTTTAGAAAGATGATATATGTTGTCATCGCATAGTTTATATTGGTTTAGTTTTGAAAGAAGACTGTATGAGAATATTTGAAAACCGTAGTTTGTGTGTGCTCGCGGAACTGCCGAGTGTTCGGTGTGTCGGTTTAAGCGAGATGATTGGTTGATTTATAAGTTCGCGATGTTCCTCATTTAAGTACTGCGCTTAGTAGTTTCATGTCTTAAACGACTCATAAGCTGATGCTCACGAAAGTGCTCAGCTCAGATAATTTCGAACTTCAAAAATAGATAACGCGTCTGTACATTATAAGTTACATTAGCGATAGGCCATAAGGCTTGCTTCTGCAGTAAAGCTTTAGTTTGGGCAAGCTGGTTGGGCAGTGGAAATTTGCGCGAGTGTTGATCACTCTCCTTCGTCCGTGTCGTTTTCGAGCAACCCAAATATGCGTTGCTTGTTACTATAGTGTGACTAGACGATCTGCTGATCGTTTTGTGCTGTTTGACCAATCGAGGTGGCAACAGCGCATATGCGAAGCAAATAGTGCATTATATATCATGAGTTTCTCTTGAATTGGTAGCAGTTTCTGGCATCTGCGCATCATGCCTAAGGCTTTGGAAAGCTTAGATTTTAAGTATAATCAATATGGTGGTCCCAAATCACCACTTCATGAAAAATGACACCCAACGGATTAGCCGACGCGGAGAATACAACTCTTGAGTCATTTACCGCAAGAGACTTCGTGAGATCGCAAGACGTAGATTTCGCTCTAAAAAGCACTGCTTTTGTTTTAGAGCGATTGAGCTCAAGTTAGTTTTTCACCGACCAATTATATCTATTTTAATACTTCGTTTGCCCAATCTATAAGTTAGTTATCCTTAGTTCCTGAAACAAAAAAACTAGTATCATCCGTGTAAATAATGTAGTTGATTGAATCACCAACATTTACAATATCATTTATACATATAATAAATAAAGGAGGGCCCAGTATGCTGTCTTGAGCCACACCCTGCCTAATAGGTTTTAACGAAGAGTATTGTCTATTCATTGATACGCTTTTTTTCTATCTGTTATGTGACTTCTATTTAAATCTAGAACAATTACAGGTATGCCGTACCAATTTAATTTATCTAATAAGATTACAGGGTAAAAAGAAAAAAAAATAACAGTGGAAGTATGGTATGTTCTATCAAAAACTGTGCGCTTTTGGGTCTGCGCATAGGTCCCGAAGCGTGTCTTTCTTTTAAAGCCTTGAGGGTGCTTATTGAAGACAGCCTCTCATATGAGCGGCAAATGTAGCGCGGCGAAGTATATATAACGTATAGCCTGTATTTTTTTAGATGTGCCTAACAGCGCAGAATGCTACGTCATAGTCCCCCGTGCCCCTGACTTGAAATTACTTTTAGGACAACGTACAAACGGAGTTTGAAGAAATACTTGTAGCGACTTCGTTTGCCAACATGTGATAGCTTCGCAAAGAGAAACAGCAGTCCTACAATACAATATATTATTTGCCACCTAACCTGTGAGCTTGTTCTTGCATTTTGCAAAAGTATACTTTTTTTTACTCTTGTTCAAGCTTGAACGTACGTCTTCAATATTAGACAAGACCTCGTTATATTCGGTTTCCGTACTGGAATTCCTCACAGCAAAATATAAATTTATTTAAGAACTACAAAAAGAAAGAAAGAAAAGGCGTAGACGTTGCAAAGGCCCATTCTTCATTTTTTAATCTTAGTGCGCCTCAAACGACTTTTTTGTGAAGTAAAAAAAATGAACAACTGAATGCTCGAGGCTGCACGACATGGTCTTACGACATATGTTTGTTTTCCAGCACGACGTTTGCTTCTGCTGAGCCGGTTTCGTCATATAGATGTATCGTTTCTTTCGTAGGAGCTTTGTCGTCTTTTTATCTCTCGCTTTTCGTTTCACAGGATGTGCGCTTTGCTAACACGAGTGGTCCTTTGACGCCCGACATAACGACTTACTCCCCTATCTGCTTCCTGACACGTCAAAATGATCCCTCCGGGAAACGAAACTTTTTGCTGTTTCTCAATTTTCTGGCAACCTTCTGGAGGCGTGTTTTTTTTTTCTGCTTTCAGTTCGCTCACATACATAAATAAACAAAAAATGAATGACAGAAACTGTGAAGCTCTCATCCTGCTGGTTTGCATTTTATATTCTTTATGGCATTACGTTTCTCTGGCTACGAGCCGAACGATACAGCATCAGTTTATTGAAATTAGCCGCTAATGAAACGAGAAAAACCACGAAATATTGTTTGATACTGGCTTCAGGGGCGATCTTCTGTCTGACGTGTTGAAATGGTTGCCGTATATGGTGAACAATCGCAGAATGAGTAACACGACCTTGCCTGTCAATGTCGCAATGTGAATGTACAACATACTGCTTGAGTTGTGTTGGCGTTCCAGGACATGTTGAGTGGTTTTTGATCAAATCAAATTTACTATGCTAGTTTAGGCTGCCAGACATGAATATCATTACGTCTTGCCTCGAAACATTATGAAGTATCTGCAGTGGTGAGTTGCCGCTTGGTTACACATACAGCAATGCTACAGAAACAGATGATAATATTTAAAGGCAATTTTATAGTTTCATAGAGCATTATTTGTCAATAAGGTCAACCTTATAAGCAGTTATAAGACAACAGTAATGGAAAACTCCAAGTTAAATTTTGCCGTGGGCGTTTGTGTTGCGTTTCTTATAGAGTCCAGGTGCGATGAGATTCTATTACGCCCCGCGCGTGGTTCATTGTGGCATCACGACAATACATACGACAGCTCTTTTTGGGGAGCTGTAGCGGTCGGCAGATGAGTACAATTCTGCCTTATGGACCAAGGGATTTGGCGAATGCGGCCTGTAATTGTAAAAAAAAAAGAAGGAGTGAATGCGAATGTTTTGTGTAAGATTGTTTACTTGATTGTCATGTCGATTGCGGCCCATCTAAATAGACATCGTAAAATGCTCGAGGCACACAAGTGAGATGATTTTAGCAGTTGAAATGGGGCATCTAATTAGGAGATCTTGCACGTAAGACGAATAATGAGCATTGTGACTGTTACACCTTTTATGCATATCTCCTTTTTTTCTGCCATCCTGCAGGTTACGAAATTCTTCCCGAGTTCGCCGAACCAGTTCCGAATGTCAGTGCTATCGTTGGCCGTACAGTGAAGCTACCTTGCGTGGTCAACCACTTGGGGCAATACAGGGTGAGTCAGTATTGGAGCGCTCGTGAGTTCGTGCAATATTATCCGTCTACCATACCGACCTTAACGCGATGAATAGGGCGCTCCTCTGTCTATGTGGCTTCTGCTCGGTCATGTGTGCACTCTGAATTGCACTTATATGCAGCAGTAGAGCCCATGGCTGTGGGCACTGGCGGCTGGTGTGAAAAGGTGCTACGCCGCGTTGGCTATAGAAGCTTCCGTTCGGGCTTGACTTATATAGCTTGCGGTAGGACCATGTTTGCTATTACAGCCTCGGTCTGTGGATATTTTTTCGCAAGAAATGGCTGTTGAGGCAACCGACTGGCCGCTCTAGACAAATGTGAGCCAGCCTGTGCGCTATCCCGTGTGAACTCTTTCTCAACGGTCTATATAACATCCGTACCAACATCTTTAATATAAACTTGTCAATTTGAGAATTAAGTTGCAAAGAGCAATTAATGACAAATAAAGGAATTATTCGGCAAGAATTCTAGTGCGATGCCATAAATATTTCTTACTTTTCTTCTAGCAAAGACAACAGAGTCTTGTAAACACTAGTCAATAGCGGAGCATTAGCAGCCTTAAAACCTCGAGATGCATATAATTTTTAATCGGCATAGTATAATGGGTCATGTAGGCAAATTTGCATAAAAAAGTCAGCAAGAGACGTCAGAAATATTGCACATTAACCGAGTTTGCTAATGAAGCTTTCGGTGTAGAATAGCCTAAATTATCTGCCAAATGCATCGCATTGGCGGCGCTGACTGACACTTCGACGCTTACATGCACATACATATCATATAAATCGGGTGCACGGAGGGATGACCGCCCCCGCAGCTCAGTAGTAAAACATAAGATGCGTTATTCGAAGGCTTCAGGATCGGTTTCTGCCGGCGGCAAGTTACCTTTTCATCCACTTTTCTTTCTTCACATTTACATGACAAATGCTACTAGTAACATTTCCTTGGCTTCGTTTCCCCCTCGTAGGGTAGCGTACCGGTCCTTCTAGACTAGGTCGCAGACAGCCGTCTTTTGCGCTTCAAGCGAAAGGAAGAGCCACACTTCTGTTGTGCGCTTCCCTTGATCGTGGCACTTAAACCGCCAAAGGCGCCTGGCTGAAAACATGTGTGGTTCTATACTCTCCAAGAAGGAAGGGAGCCCTTCGTGTTCTTCCTGTCTCTGTGTCGTCGTTCTGTTCTCGCGCTATAACTATCGTCATGTCATACCAACTAGCCCAAGCTGCCACACTTTCAAGGAAGGCACACGTGCACCGGTGGGGCTGGTTGCGTTGTGCGTGTGCGCGTGTGTGCGTGCGTGTGTGCGTGCGTGTGCGTGCGCGTGTGCGCGTTTTTTGGTGCAAGGAGAAAAGCTCTGCGGACGGCGGAAGAACTAGTCAGTCACCAGGGAACACTCAAGCTACGTGGACAGTTCCCACTTTCGTGTGTTTATAAATAAGTTTGTTCAATTTTGATCGCCTGCGTCGTTTCTATCCCTCGTGTTTCACGACTGGAGTAAACTAGTCGTAGAGACGCCACAGACTGGTCGACATCCCTGTCCTTCCTTTCCCTCCTGTTCTTGCCTTCCATGTCAGTTTTCAGAAATATTGCGTCTAACGAAGGAAACGAGCCCTTAAATTCACATATTTTACGAAATGTGAGTACGATAAAGTCGATGTTATTACAGAATGTGGGATGACCTTAAGTCATTTGAGGCCACCAGTACTTTTGACGTGCAACTCACTGGTGGGCGAATCTACATGTTAGCATCCCACTCATCAGAAATTGAAATTCAATCGACATAAACTGCCACAGGGAGACTCGCAATAAACACATAGAAAATTTTCGGATCTGAAAAGCGTTGAACAAATCATCTATGCAAAGGGATTGAATCTTGTTGAATCGACCCTTTTCTTTCTTGCGTGCTAAAAGCAATAGCAAGCCGGCGAAGTGACAGAAAAGTTTTTGCGAAGCGGCTCACACACCTTCCGCAGTAATTAGTGAATGCTCGAGGTTTTCGCCTACTCTCGACAAATGCGGGCTACTAGAAATTGTCGTTCAAAGGAATTAATAATTCTTTATGAACATATTTATTGAAAGGGCCGCTTCAGTGTCCCAGTAAGAAATGAAATGAGCGCGCAGATGAACGCGTATATTGAGCACCGGAGGTGAAATAAATGCCAGTTGTAGTAACGCAAGAGACAAGTAGCGACAAATATGTGGCCTCTTCGCGTATTCCCAAAACAGAAAAAAAGCAACTAAACAGGGTTCCGGACACCGGTGTATCGCCTACCGAGCTTCGTAAAGAAAAAAAAAAGACGAACTACCGTGATGAATGGCATGGCGCGACTTCGAAGCTAGTGTCTCGAGCGAGAAGCTAATAGCCCAAGAGTGTATATCCATCTGCCTCGTTTTTTTTTTTCTCGTTACACGCAAGCCCGCCTACGCGCAAGTCTGTCCTCCACAAAACCACCCAAATTTAGGTCAATGGCCGCCGTCACTTTTCCTAAATAAAGCTTTGCGCATTAATCTATTAACCCGCATACTTCCACCCAGCAAGTTATTCCGGTTATTCCTCGCCGAGGTACACGCAGTCGAGAGCCTGATGTGCCCTTCGCTCAGTCTCCTCTTTCTTTTCTTCGCGTGGAATGTAAAGGGAAGCGTTGACGATAAAGCCATACCTAGGCGAGAACGGACAGCGAATGGGCGTCGGGGAGGATCATGTCCCGCGTAATTAAGAGGAGCGCTTAATTCCGCCCACTCCACGCTCTACGATGCGCTGTGAACTTTCCGCGATGCACCTTACCGTTACGTTCCTGCGTTTGCATTTTTCGGTCACAACAACTCGCGCCGCTCCTCCATGCAGATTGTCAAGAAAATTGCCTTTCTAAAGCGGTTTCTTCTTGTTTTATTTTTTAATGGTAAATCTTAAGCATCGTACTCAAAAACAAAGCCTGAATTCGGTTCAAAGGTTGAGACTTACTATGAAAGCATGTAGACTACCACCTGGCTGATATGGAAGTCGATTGTTTCGTTAAATCAGCATAACTTACTGACATTCTCGTTTTGAGGGTAGTGTACGTGCAAAAGCTTTGAAAGGAAGTGGCATCAGCTCTGGTTACGATGTGCTCGGAGCTCTGGTAGGTAAGAACGTTGCAGGAGTTAAAAGGGCCCTAACATCCCCTGAAAATACAATGAAGTGCTTTTTCTCTTCCAGTGATTCTCGTCTTTTAGCCACAATTCGTGACGCCAGTAGTTCGTTCACGTGATGTCAGGCTGAAATAAGTTCTCGATTTGCCGATATATGAAAGGTACCTGCTGTGAATTGCCACCTACACTGCTCCGCCATGCATGCTCACTTTTGCCTGGTCTTGCACGAGTATCGTGCGCAACAAACGGATGCTCCTTCGTTTTCTGTGTTTGCAGCTGCGCAAGCGGAGATAGCAGCCTGTAGTTGAAAAGCGCGAAATCCCTACTAGCTCAATGCTTAGTCTCTTCTTTGAAATAAGTGGCGAGGAGGAGGAAACAGCCCCTGTAGGAAAGGTAGTGAAGGCGACCAAGAAACTACTGCCTCGCGTTTGAACTTCGTGTTGGGCTGCATGCGGCTAAACATGCCCCACGTTTCTTTCGATATCTCTGTCTTGCATAACGCATATTTCGCAAATTTTGGTAAGGGTCGTTAACAGCATTCAGTGAGCCCGTCTTACATTTTGATAGTCGTTGTGTTGTATGCAGGTTACGCAGTCGGGATTTACCAGAAACAAAAATTCGTGGGTTCGATTCCAGCTTTCGCTGTCGCATTTCATTGGAGAAGAAGTGATAGAGGCCCACGTATCACGCAATGCCAGCGGAATGTAAGGAATTCCGGATGGTCGTCATTTCATATAGTTTTTCACTACGGCGTACCTCGTGTTAACGTATATCGTGGTTCTGGCACGTAATATTCCAGAAGTTGTTATTCTCTACCACTTGAGAACAGCAGATGTAGTGACGTAATATCAAAAGCATGCCTTCGCGGAAATGCTTTATAGACAGCGTCACTGATTAAAATATTGCAGTGCTTCGGCGTGTACTATCGGCATCAAATGAAACGCGAACAGCGGAGCGCGTGGCACAAGCCTTATGAATGGCATAGTGCGCGCCGTCCACCAGTAGTCAATGACACAGGCAGGCCCACACATCCGGTGTGGCAGCACTGCACGATCCCTGTATAGTGCAATATTTCTGCTTGTGTTCCAGATATAGTATTTGAAAGAAACAAAATTAAAAAAATACAGAGGTTAAACTACTGCAGCTGAAGGCGAGCATTGTAGCACGGTTTGTCATCACGGAGTCAATCATCACGGAATGCCTGGCAAATTCAATATATAGTAGACAAAGGTCAGTTCACAAGGCTGGCAATTTCACGATGTTTCACTTCGTGCCAGCAAAGCTAAACAAATTGCGCGCTCTCTTCTGAAGAATCACTTGGCATTTCCCGTTAAAATTAAGCCTTTTCAGGTCGTTCTCTGAGAGAAGGATGTAGGTGGAGCAGCACTGGTGAACGTGATACGACAATCGTTTGAAAATCAACCGCAAACCAATTATGTTTCTCTTTTCGTTTTATCGTGCCAAGACACCACTTCCTCTGTGACGCTGCAGTTAAAGCAAGGAATTGCGAGTGATACGATCAAAAGCGCTCTGCGGGCCCACGAATTCCAACATTGTCACCATACGAAAACCAGAGCAGAAACGGAGATAACGCACTCTAGGTGGACCGCGCAGGGCTGCCATATCGGATGCGCACGCTTGTCAATGGAGATGACTGGATGGCCTACACTATACTGTTTCTAATGCTTGAAACACGCGTTCCGCTGTTCGGGTTTAATTTGACGCCGATAGTACGTTCGTAGCATTGATATGTGGTGTTTAGCGTCCCAAAACCACCATATGAATATGAGAGACGCCGTAGTGGAGGGCTCCGGGAATTTCGACCACCTGGCGCTCTTTAACGTGCACCCAAATCTG